CCCTGCTCCCGCCGCCAGGCTGCCCCCATTGGCTCCCGCCGCCAGGCTGCCCCGGCCACGTCCCCCCTGCTCCCGCCGCCAGGCTGCCCCGGCCACGTCCCCCCTGCTCTCGTTGCCAGGCTGCCCCCATTGGGTCCCGCCGCCAGGCTGCCCCTGCCACGTCCCTCCTGCTCCCGCCACCAGGCTGCCCCTGCTGCTGTCTGGGCTTTGTGCCTGCGGCAGCAGCCACATGCATCCTCCTGTCGCCTCTGGTCCAAGGCTTGCAGTTTGGGGGTCAACGCCCCCCTAACGACTAAAACGTGGGCAGGCATGGCTCTCCTGGCCCCCCGGTTCTGGTGCCCATGGGCCCCCAGAGTGTGGGGGGCCAGATATTCTCTGGGCCAGGGTTAATCCGCTTTGGGCTCCCCCCTGCCTCAGTGTCTCTTCTCTCCCGCCCACCAGCTACGAGAATGCGGTCCTGGAAACGACCTTCACACATGGCAGCTGGTCGACATTCTGGGTGAAGGTGGCCTCGTGCTGGGCCTGCATCCTGCTGTATTTCTGGCTCCTCTTGGGCCCCCTGTGCCGCTCCGGCTTGCGCCAGCGCCGGAGGGGCAGCCCGCCCCTGCGCATACTGCGACGCCGGCGCCCACTCCAGCGGATCAGCGTCTCCACGTAGCCCCTGCTGCTGGGACTGGACAAGGTGCTGTCTGCTGGGCAGGTGCTGGGTCGGGCAGCTGGCTGCAGGGCTATGGAGATGGAGGGGCCGGGGGCAGGGCCCAAGCAGCCAATTCAGGATCAGGGAGACGGGGCTGCCCTCCCTGCCTGCCAGCCGTGACTCTGGACTGGCTCCATGTACCGAAGAGCCTGCAAGCACGGCACCCACCAGCCCTGCTCTGCCTCTGCCTTGAGGATGACCCACCCTGGCTTCGTCCCAACCACGGCTGTTGGGGAGTAGGAAACTGCTGAGAAATTCAAGCAGGATCCCAGATCAGGCCCAGGGCCACCCCCAGGCAGGAACTCCCCCAGCGCCAGGGGTCCGGGGACATCGCTCCAGCATGGAGTCCCCCAACCATCGTCAAGGAAGCCTAGGCCGGAGAGCTGGCCTTCAGGGACCTCGCACAGAACTGGCTTGTCTCGAGCAGCATCTGCTAGTCCGACCTGCCCCGCTCTGGTCCAGCTGGGGGCTCCTCTGGCAGAATGTCTTTCATGTGCGGCGTATGAGGCCCAGAGCACGGGGCAGTGGCTGGGCTATCGCCATGCCCCTCACACCTCAGCTGCAGCTCCTGCTCTGTTGGCCTTGAGAGGGCATCTGTAAGGCTCTGCCCCAGCCCGCCTGCAGGTGCTGTGGCCTGGCTGCCCCCCTCCTGTGACTGTCCTGCTTCCTGGAGCCACACCAGCCTGCCCTCCAGTCATGCAGTGCAAGGCGAGCGGGACTGTAAATCACTCCTGGTGTCTGTTTCTACATAAAGCCCTGAGCTGAGCCTGTGTGGAACTGTGTGTGCGTGCCTGCAGGCCCTGGCTCAGGGGCCAGCCCCCCTCTGGCCCCCCAGTGTCTGCCTGGAACCAGGGACCTACCCCAGTGCCCATCCCCACCCCGCTGCTGTTTGCCTGTGGGACACTGGAGCTCAGGCTGCAGCCGCTGGGGAGGCAGGGTCAGCCCCTCTGCAGAGGGCCTTGGGGGTTGAGAAATGGGCTGGCTAGGCTGACCACAGGGCACGGGCAGTGGGAGCTGGGGCCTGGCAGGGCCCTGTAGTGGGGCTGTGCTGGTGAAGCTCTGTCTTGGTGCACTCCTGGTTCAGGCCTCACCCGAGCTGGCCCTCGGTGGGCCTGTGGGGTGCACAGCACTGTGGGGCTCCAGCAGGATCCTGCCCAGGGTGCATTGGGAGCTGATCTGCCTCCCTCCCTCCCGAGGGGTGCTTGCAGTGCCCTGGGCCCACGTGTGCTGCAGGGAGCTGCTCTGGTAGGCTGCTCTCACTTGGCTGTCACAGCAGCTCCCTGAGGACCCTACCCCAGAACAATGCAGGGAAGACACCACATGTGAGTCACAGGCTGCCCCTGGCAGCAGCCCCGTTGCCAGGCCTCCAGCCCCAGCCCCAGCCCCGGGCAGCGCCCCAGGCCTCACAAAGCCCTCGCTGAACTGCTTGATTTTGTTCTGCCTCCCACGTGTTCTGTAGCGGGCAGGAGACGCAGAGGTGGTACCCACACACCCTGCTCCACCCCAACAGGGAGCCCTAACTTAATGCCGCTCGGCCCTTCCTGGATCCTGGGCACTGCGTCAGCTCCCCTCCCATAGCAGCCAGTTGGGAATTGAGGCTGTGGGCACTGCCTTGTGTCTTATGCTCAGAGCTGGCCACAGGGGCTGGTGAACCGTTCCTGGCTCGTGGTGCAGGGTGTTTGCTGGGGGGCAGGGGAACAGCCCCACGTACCTGCTGTCCAGCTCCATGGTAGTGGAGGGCGGTGCTGGGCAGGCAGCCTTGTTGGGAGCAGGGGGCGGCCTGGTCCCAGCTGGTGGCTCTGCAAAGCCAGAACTCGTAGTCAGTCTCCAGGTTTTGGTGCAGGAAGAGAACTGCCGAGGGAGAGCAAACGCAGGGCGCTCCCAGACCCTCTCTGACCCCCAGGCAAGGGCGCCAGTGTGTGTGTGGGGCTATTCGTGCTCCAGCACAGCCTGATAAAGGGCCCCGGAGAAAAGGCACAGTACTGGGGGAGGGGCGGGGTGCTGGGGCTGGCCCTGGAGGGGGAGGAGGCAGGGTGCTGGGGAAGGGCTCAGTGTTGGGGGAGGGTGATAACTTGTATGGTTAGTTGCCCAATCACACTTTGGTCCATTATGAAATACACTTAAGAGCTCAAATAACCAGTGTCAGTCAGATTGACAGCCCTAGGCCCGTAGTAGCTAATACAGGGAAGAGGTTCTGTGCCATCCCAGTCACCAGGAAGCCGGCGTGAGCAGTGTTCTTACATTCTCCTTAGCAGAAGTTGAGCTCCGCGCACCTCCCAGAAGCGGCCAGCACGTCCCTGCGCCCCCTAGGCGCAGAGGCGGCCAGGGAGGCTCCAAGCGCTGGCTCCGCAGCTCCCATTGGCTGGTGCGCCTCCACCTAGGGGCTGGATATGCCGGCGCTTCCGGGAGCAGCGGGGAGCCATGGCGGGCAGGGAGCCTGCCTTACCCCACTATGCCGCCGACTGGGAGTCGTCTGAGGTAAGTGCGGCCCAGCTGGAGCCCACACCCTGAACCCCCTGCCCCAGGTCAGAACCCCGCCCTGCACCCACACTCCCTCCCAGAGCCTGCACTCTGCCCACACCCAACCCCCAGCCCTGAGCCCCCTCTTGCACCTCAAACCCCTCATCCTGGGCCCCACCCCAGAGCCTGCACCCCAGCTGGAGCCCTCACCCCCTCCCATACTCCAAACCCCTTGGCCCCAGCCCAGAGCCCCCCCTGAACCTCTCATTTCTGGACCCCGCACTGCCTCCTGCACCAGCCCAGTGAAAGTGAGTGAGGGTGGGGGCAAGTGAGAACAGGGGGCTGGAGGGAGGGGAGGGGGGGCGGGGCAAGGGTGTTTCAGTTTTGTGCCATTAGAAAGTTGGTAATTGTAGCCTGGAGGCTTGGCCGGGTGGGTGGGGACCCCACTAGCCCTCGGCCTGGCTGGAGCTCAGCATAGGCACGGAGCTCCTGGGGCCCGGGGCGGCCACGCATGGCTCTGGGGCGGTCTCCAGGGCAGCTGCAGTACCTGTGGCCGGGGCTGGGGGCGGGACTAGGAGCAGGGGGCGGGGTGTGGAGAGCAGGGGGCGGGGACAGGACTAGGGGGCAGGGTGGGGATCCTGAAGGTGGCCCTGCCCCAGCCGGCAGGTGCTTTCCTAGTCCCACTCCGGGCGATGCACCGCCCCCGCTTTGTGGCTCCTTGGCCCGGCTGGACACGGGCAGCGACAGGTCCCCCGGCTGGAGACGGAGGCAGTGCTAGAGCCCGGCCCGGCCCTGCCGAGCCCAACCTGGGACAGCGCCTGCAGGGGCAGCCAGGCGAGCAGCTGAGCGGGAGGCCCAGGTACCGGCCACCACTGGGCGGGGGCAGCCCCTGCGTGCTGTTGGGGGGGGAGGGGGATGGACCCTGTGTGGTAGATGGGCCCTTATGCCAAGGGGGTATCTTAGCAGCTACTTTGCCTTACAGCACAGGGGAGGAGAGAAATGGGCATCAGGCTTGTTCTGGCCTCTCCTGGGGCCTAGGCTGTCTTTAACAATAAATTATTTTTGTAATCTCCCTTTGGCTGGGTGGAGACTGTCCCCTCCCGCTGTAAGTGATGGGGGGCTCTCAGCTCACCCGACCATAGGCCTCCTCCTTTCTCCTTCCTGGGCCTACACCTGGCCCCCCTGCCTTTGAGTGCTTGGGGCAGTAGGACCTCAACTGCTGCTTCCCTGCTCATGCCTGACCTGGGATGTGGTGCCACCTCCTCCATGAGCGCCTGGCACCAGCCAGCTTGCTCCACCCCAGAGGGCTGGGGTCAGCCTGGCCTAGGGTCCATGCCCAGGGAAGTAGCCAGCAAGGGGAGAGGTGGTCTGAGCCTGCTGCCTCTCAGGCACATACCCCCCCTCCCCCCCAAAACTATATATATCAAGCCTGCTCTGCACCCTCTCCCCTGGCTCCACCACTGCCTCCCCCATTTCTCTGGGCTGGGACCCAGCTTTGACCACTGGGTGCCAAAGAAGCAGCATCACTGCCTGTTGACAGCTCTGGGGGAGGGGGAGGAGAGAGTTAGGTCAGCCTCTGGCACTGCCAGTACATTGGCCTGTTAAGGATGTAGCCTGTGGCTTCCCCTGCCCTTCCTGTAATAGAGTCCTCTAAGCCCTGCCTTGGTGCGAGCTAGATCCAGGGCCATGCTTTCAGCTTGGGAGGGCTCAGGCCCTTCTAGCTCCCCTGTATGAGGCAAGCATCTCCCTACGCAGCCCCTCAGGGGCAGGAGCAGGGAGGGAATGGCACTTCCAGGGGGAGGCTCTGCGGGGTCACAAACACCTACAAATAATCCAGCACCCCTGAGGAATCCAAAAGCTACTTTAATACGTGGAAGTGGGTCTGATGTGAATAAGAAGGGTGAGGGGCTCCTGCAGCTGCTTGGCTATGCAGCCCCAGGCCAGCCCCTCTGGGCCAACACTGGCTGCACATTATAGAGAGGGGGGAGAACATACATCAGGCGCGGACAATCCCGGCGGGGCTACACGCTTTGCATTCTACCAGCAAGAGGGCCAGAAGGCTGTGGTGGGCTGGAGCGGCGGGCAGGGCAAGCGCAAAGGTGAAGGGCAGGGATGCTGCCTCACTTCTCCTGGGCCAGACCAAGTTCCCCACACGTTATTTCGGTTGCTCCTTCTTCTCACTGGCCTTTTTCTGCTTCTGCTGCATTATCTCAGAGTCTCTATTGGGAGAAAAGGAGCCTGTTAGCTGGTGGGCCAGGAGAGAGCAGCTGTGTCTGCTAGGGGCAGGGAAAGCATCTCAGGTTTTCTGGTAGCAAAAGTAGTAGTTTCTGGAGGCAGGATTTCAGCACATGAGGGAGCTACTGGCCAGAGCAGGAGTGGCAGATTCAGGGCCCCCAAACTTCAGATTCAGGAGAATTGAATTTGGAAACCTTGGGTGGGTGGATGGATTGGGGGTGGGGGGGAGAACAGGACACAACTAGTTGAGGGAGGTGGAGATACAACAGGGTCTTCTCAAAGCAGTAAGAAGAAACACGGGACGAGGCCTCTGCTGGGGCACACAGGTGGTGGGTACATGCTGCTGGAGGACAGGGAGAGCAAGTTACTGAGCATGCCAGAGAAATCTGACTGATGAAAGAGACAGCATCCCAGAGAAGGGAAGACAGTGCAGGAGGGAGGAGAAATGAGAAAAGGGGGAGGCAGAACACTCATTCATTGTTATTTCAGAGAAAGCTGAATGGCAGGATGTTCTGCCCAGGGCCCAGCTCTATACACACTGCAGGTGAGAATGCTGGACTGTGACCCCCCATGCTAGCCCTGGTTCCCAGCAGAGGATGGTACTTCCATGGCTAGACCATGGACTGACACAGCATGCAGGGGCCCAGGGCCCTTTGAGCATGAACCTCTCTTAGAAGGGAGCCAAGACCCTGCTTCCTAGGAGCCCTCCAGAACCAGCGCTGGCAGGTGGAGTTGCTGCAGGGAGCATGGGGCTGCAGCCCCAATCAGGAACCTGGGAGAGAACAAAGCCAGCCTCTTGCCTCTTCCTCTCATCATGGATAGTTACCTCTGCTTCCGGGCAGCCGCCGACAGGCCGTCATCGCGCCGCTTCCCCTTGCCCGAGTCAGTCTGCTTCTTCATGTGCTTCTGACGGGCCAGGTCACGCTGGTTACCGCCTGCAACGACACCAGCAGAAGACTGACTCGCTGCACCCTGGATGAGATAAGGCCCCAAGACCCAGCCCCATCAGACACCAGCTGCCCTCCCATCTGAGGTACTTCTGGAAGCAAGGAGCACAAGCCTGAGATGAGAGGTTACTGGGAGGTCCCCCGGTGCCAGCGCTCAGGCTGCATTACTGGCACAGCTGTCAGTTCAGAGAAGGGTCACCTGTCTTGAAGAACAAACTTGTCAGTATCCAAGGGGCAGCAGCACTGCACTCTAAGCGGGCAGTCCCCATGGAGCCCCAGGGAAGGGCTGTTCAGGGCGGGGCAGCTGGGTGTGTGCCTTGAAGAGCCCGGTTCATTCAACAGCCGAGGCAGCAGCCACTGGAGCAGGTGTGCTGAGAACAGTAACTTGTGCAGGTGCGTGAAGTGCTCCACCTAGAAGCCCTACCGCGCTGTGGCACTGGCGCTGCCAGCCCGCTAGCAGAGGGAGCTGGCGCTGCTTCCAACGGGCCGGGATGCAAAACCCAGGCTCTTTAAGCAACCTTTCAGCCAGCACTGAGAGGCTGACCCCTTGGACCCCCCCAGGCCACAGCCTCCGGCTCTCACACAGGGCCGGCTCTAGGTTTTTTGCTGCCCCAAGCACCTGCTTGCTTTGCTGGTGCCTAGAGCCAGCCCTGCTCTCACAAGTGGGGCTGCCTACTCCCACCCCCCC